GTGTGTCCAGAATTCCCCACAAGTCCTCTTGCACCACGTGCGCTACCGTACGCTCCCTTGATATCCAAAAATGCTAGCCACAGGAGCCTGAGTTCCTTTTCTGCTATTTCGATGCACTGCGTCAGTGAGAACAGATTGTCTTTCAACTTCCTGTGTTTTCGTAACCCATTCTGCAGTTCCCCCAGCAACCCCTCATCATCTCATCTATCCATGCCTGAAGTCTTTCCTTTATAATCTGCATCGCCAGCCCGTAGACCACTGATGTCACTGTTATAGGACGGTAGTTGTTTATGTCAGCTTTGTCCCCCTTTCCTTTATAAATCATGCTCATCCTGCTAAGTTTCCGTCCATCGGGGACTTCACCATCGACTATTGTTCTGCTCACTGCCTCTTTCAAAGTCTGTTTAGACTTCGGACCCAGTCCTTTATCAGCATAATTGGAATGCCATGTGGGCCTGTTGTACTACTTGGAACCCTCTTCTCAGCCCTTTCCCACTCTCGTTGTGAAAATGGAGCCATTGCGCCACTTGATACATCCTTGTCTATTGTGGTGCATAAGGCGCTTCTTTGTTGAAATTTTTCTGTCACCCTTGTTCTTATACATTCAATATCTTCGTCCCCTTCTAGCCTAGCCCCTTGAGCTGTAGTTATAAAGCTCTGCTCTAGGCTTCTTTCATTTCTTAGAGAGTTTAGATGGTTCCAAAATTTCGCAGCTGCCTTTCTGTCCTTTTTATATACTTCTGTCAGCCACTGAGCACCCTTTCTTTACCATAAAATGCCATAAGGAACTAGCGCCCCACGGTGGAGCAGCGCCTGAAACTACATGCGCTCAGGTTTCGGTGATACTGAAACACGCTGTTTTCGAATAGTGGGACCCGCGGGCGGTGAAGAATGAAACGAAGTGGGGGCTTTGAGCATGTCCCCCTCAGAAAAAAAAGAACATTTCTGGCGTAAGCAGACTAAACCACCTCGAGAGCAGCCCGACAACAAAGTGAGAGGGGTGACGAACAATAGTCCTCGCCAAGTACAAGTCGGGGTATTGTGCGCATCCCGCAAATGTTCTGAACCTCTGCAACGGCACAAGGGTATGCCCTATCTAGGTGAAATCACAGAAAATGTTGATTGTACCTGAATACTCGGAGGAGCACGCGCCTTTATTTTAAAACCAAATTAAAATATCTTCTAGGCAGCGCTCGTCACTTATAAATCAGTCAGAGGTGGCCCCGCATGCAGGACTATCAAACACAGGCATCTCGAGTTTCCAAATTTGGTGTCTGGGGTTCTATAAGAGACATTGAATATTTACTCGTTGTTAAAAGTGGCGTTCTTCGTTGCCTCCATAATTAAATTTTCTGTAGCAGCAGCCGTCTTCCGTCAAAAGACACTAATTATGATAGTAATAAATTTAATTTCATCGGTGAAGATAGCCAGTTGGATGAAATAAAAGTATTGAGGAGCTTCTTCTGAAGAACCCATTACCACCAGTCTATTTGAATGGCGCGCCAGCTGGACTGTCTGTGCGTGTGCTTTAGCGCGAATAACAGGTTCAATCCACTCATTTAGGAGGTATGGGTAGACGGCAGGCTGCGAAATCTCAAGCAAATATAAAACTACCTGATGGTACAGCGGATCAAAGGGAGGCCAGATTAACAAGATCAGCACGTTATAAGAGTGGCTTACCAGGCTCTAATTAGGCTACTGCAACCACCGCCTGTGTGCATAGTCTGCAATAACAAGCGAAACATACCTTTCACTCACGATAACGAAGTTTAAGAAGATATACCTCAGCAATTTTTAAAGCAAATATATCTATATCCAGGCTACAGGAGAGCCGCGACGCGCGCGCAAATTTGAGCGCGCGGCGTGTCTTTCCAGAACACGGCGGTCACTTTTGGCCCACTTATTCTTCTTAGCGGCCAAAAAAGGAGCACGTGCTGTTAAACATTGCAGAGTGCTGACCATCATCATCATCATCATCGCAATTGTGTCGGTGCTGTCAAGGACGCCATTGGAACCATCAACAACACTGATCGTCGTCTTTCCATATCCACTCCTCCAGCTTCGTGTAACGCCTTTCTGGAGTCGCGGTCCGGGGGTAAGGATACCATGAGCGAGGCGAAGAAGGCCGACACCTCTTCCGAAGAAGGCCTGGTGGATCCGCTGGAGACGCTGCGAGCAGAGTGCCGTGCCATAGACAAATGCGTCGCCTTCGGCCACAAGCTGGACGAGTGCAACGAACGCGTCGGCAGTCGCTCCCAGACGCTCGAGACGTGCGTCGAAGAGCTGTTCGATTTCCTGCACTGCGTTGACCACTGCGCCTCCAAGAACGTTTTCAAACACCTCAAGTAGCCGGCAGCTGCCAACAGCTGCAGTCTCAACCGCTGCGGGCAGGACTTCGAGAAGATGCCGAAGACACGGTATCAAAACCAGCTAGAAAAACTTTTAGTACTTACGGGATCCGCACTCTGATACCACAATGTTAAAATCGCCGAGAATAGCGAGAGTAAAAAAAGTGCGCAGTGTCTTATTGTTTACTATTACTATGAGTGCCAATTCGTTTGCCTAATATATATATATACTGTTGTGTCCCGCACTTTTCCTAGATTTACCTTGTTTCTGCGTTGCTGTTGACTGCGATGTGCGCGAATACGTTGCCTGAGCGGAGATTGCATGAAATCTACAATGTGCAGACAATTTTCCCATCGGTTCGATAGGAATAGTTCAGTTTTATTTTCTCGAAAGGTTCAGGCGAGCTAATGAAACCGTGCGTTGCATATTGCTGAGCCTGATTGCAACTAGGTACAGTCGTGAACATCCACAGGATTTTTCAGGCCCCGACTGGTCCCACTGTCTCCCCTCCTCAACAGGCACCAGACGAGAAGTAGCTGGCAAAAATTGCGCTCCTCCCCTCCTATCACCCCGGGAAAATATGCGAGCCTTCTGGTCCCAGACCTCCGACAACTAGAACCAGAGGGTAGTCACGTGGTACCTAACTGGAACCAGTTGGTTTAAGGTTGGTACCCATTAGTACCAGTTCATTACAAGTTATTGCTCTTACCAATGCCAGAGCCCATGAGAAGCAGGCTGTTCTAAAAACAAATGTGGTAATAAGCCCTTGGTTTTCGTCCAGATTCTAAAGCCACCACACGCCTTGCCTTACGAGCCATCCTGTTGCTCAACAGGGGGTTTTCACTGGTTAGAACAGCCCATGGCTAAAGAGGCAGAACTCGTGAAGCTTTGCAAGTGACAACAGTAACACACAGAGGCTTTGCAGCTAGGCCGATCTTGCGTGACCTCCAAGAAAACTTGCTCTATCAGTTTCTTTATGGCGACAGGCATGCCCATTCTTGTAGTTTGGGAGCGATTCATAAAAGCTTTGTGATAAGAGGTGTCAGTCCCCTCAATCGTGGCAGCACAGACGCCTACTAATTGCAAAAGTATGCACAGTTTATCACCACATATATATATGCACACCACGAAATATATCCACGCGAGTCGTCTTTGACACCTTTTGTAAGGCTGGAGGCAGTAACAGGCACAATACTTTCATGAAGCCCCGAGCTTTCTTCACCCAAAAACTGAAGTAGAACACATGTGCAATACATTGCCATTGTCCCTCCTATTTGTGTTTTCCTTTAGTCTCACGGGCACAACTGCAGTTTCTGCTCCATAGCATTACATCCACCCAAACCACAAGATCACCCCACATGCATTGGACTGAAGGGGCCCGATCCATGGTCATCAGTAGGATTTTTTTCTTGGGGTGTGCAAACCGATGTTGCATTCCTTTTGGGGGGAGGTGGAGAAGAGCACCGGTGAAGCTTGGAGAAGGGGGGGCAAGTGCCCCTTTTTCACCACCCTGCAGGCGCCCATGGCACGATCAATGGCAATTCATTGAGAACAAAAATACTAAATGGCCGATCAACAAGGGTGTACCGCCCGGTCTACGATGTCATTACATTTGCATTACGCCTATCACAATGATACAAGATACTATGGTGCATTAGTGGCAGCAGATAAATTTACTTGACCAATGTGCAAGACTCCTATTCTAATGTATCAGAGGTTCTGTTCTCCTGAGTGTACAGGTCTGCCAAAAAGATTTGCCAATTAAATCTAACATTGTTTATAAGTTCCAGCATCTAGAAAAATCTTATCTAGGCTAGAAATTTCCAACAAGATGGCATGTGTTTCAAAGTTCAAAGATATGAATTGTTTTAAAAGAGGTGTTTTCTCTTTCCACTATTTCTTTACAACAATTGGGATTTTATTGCATATAGCCCATATACTCGTCTTTGACATATATATGGGCTATTGCAGTGGCAACACTGTAATAGAGTGCAATGGCATCTTCTGCAAAAGTACCGAAACTAAAAATACAATACACATTTGAGAAACAGAAATCTCGTAACTAAACAACTGGCTCTAACATGATTGCTTTCGTGTTTCAATTTTGTACACACAGGATGCATTATACCGGTGACTTCAGGTTCCACTTGAAGAGTCTACTGTCCTATAAGCGTGCAATGTCATAGAAAAATATTGTCAGAGTTGGCCATGTCCTGGAAAAGTTGGTGGAGGCTGCAAAATATGCTGACTACACACCAAATGTACACTGAACGGAATTCCATGACCAGACGTGCTCATGATGTCGGATGACACGTAAAGCGAGCTCTTCCGCACAACTCGGCTCAGCTATAAGCACGTTTGGCTAAACACAACTGCCCTTGTATCATCCAAAACTACCTGTGCAAAGTACATTCCTTCACAAACGTGCATCAGTATTGGACTAAGATCCAAGTGAGGTGAAAGTGCAACAGTCGTTTGCGCAAGTGGAAGTATACATGATAACAAGTGAGTTGCAATAAATGGAACCTCTGATCAGTTGTTTGTAGAATATTATGGTATAAGCTCATTATTATGTACTAGCCACATTTTAGTAACATGCAGTTTGCCAGCCACAAGACACCCCGTCAAAGCAAAACACTTAAGAGACCAAATGAGCAACATAATAAATTTAATACACACCTCTTTAGTAGCTCTTCTTGCACAGCGTATTTGGTGTTTTCCCAAGCATGTTACAGCTAAGCCCACAAAGACAGACAAAAAAAAAAACTGGGCTGCTTCACACACCACCTAAAGATAGAATTACTTGACTATGATAAAAAGGTAACATAACCACAGTAGCATGTAAATGTAAAAAAAAAAAAGAATCCTGCACTTCCAACAGATCTAATTTAGAAAACTCAGCTTGGGAGCTATAGCGCTTCAGGCAAACACTGTCTTGATCACAGCACTGCACAAGATCCAACTAACAGGTTTGCATTTCCGTCGGCAAAACAAACACTACGTATTATATGCAGGCTGACGCAAGAATATTTCACAACTCTGAAGTACTGCAGTGACTAACAACCAAGTGAAATTTTGAGAGCTCCTTCTTTTGTACTACTAAAAAATGAAGATTTCAATTGGATTTTGTGAAGGCAATGAAATTCAACAGCAACGTGTCATGTGGACATCCTAGGCAGAGAGCCATGCCAATGATGTGACCAGCTTACGATGCTGGTGAAGACGCAGCATGCTACCATGACATCGCAGCGAAACACTGCCAGAATATTTTTATATTTATCCAAAAAAGTGCTCGTGATATGGGGCTAGGTTTTAACACGCCTCAAACCAGTGGACGTGCTAACAACAACCCTTAGAAGCGAAAAGAAAAAAGAAATACATGAAAAACAGAACCATCACACTTTATCACAAACATTACAGGGAACGCAACTGTACACTACAGGGCTACACTATCTGCCATATGGTACATTACAAACAAGCCGTGTAGAGCACAATAATGAAAAAAAAAAAAAAGCTGTGTGTCAACCGATATGGGTCAACGCAGGGTACTGGGCCCTGCAAGGAATATATCATGAAAAAAAATCCTCATAATTTATAACTTTGGTGCACCGGACTACCAGAGAAAAACAGAGAATCCTCCTATTTTCACCGCCGTGTACAACTCGATTGCCTACTTGCAAATCTTTCAGACACCACTAACACATGCATAAGAAAACATGCTCACTCTTAAAAAAAAATTGACAGTGGCACTAGCACCAATGCGTATCTTTACTATTTCCCCATTTTTCTTTAGCAGTGTCACGGCTTGGGCATTGCATTTAGGACAGCTAACGTGAATTTAAAAGTGTGGATCAGAGCAGAGGTGCTAGCCCAGTCCTAATCAAACAACCGTGCGAGTAAACCAGTTACAACAGTCACGACAAGAAGTATCAAAATTTCTTCATAATTGTGCAAAAGCTTTTATAAGGTGCCAATTCAAAACAGTCAGGCATCCTAAACCCGATACTATCAGTGCAGTTCATCATGCAGCAAAGTGCAAAATAATAAGGCAGAATATACATTGCCGAACATACTGGTGGTTTGTCTACACTCTTTCTTCTTCTGCATTTAATATGTTCTGGCTAAACTGCGCTGAAAGCAGCCATGGAATTACTTCTTGCCATAACCAAACTGTAATTGAGGCAAGAGCGCCCGCGCTGTGCACCGAGAAAATCTTATGTTCACGCACCAACCTGCAATCACACCACTCACACAAATAAACACACACCACTTCCTCGTGTTCCCACGGCATGATTAGCATATTACGAGCAAGAAGGAACGTGTGCAGACTAAGGTGCTACAGCAACACAGGAAAATGTTCAGAAATAGGCCACTACGGACCAGCGAGTCTGACCAACAGCGTGGCTCAGTTTAGGCGACACCAGTATTGTTTTCTTTAGCTCCATAGCCTGGGTAACCAAAATGCTACTCAAAACTACAACCGGGATACAACGAAACATATTTTCAAGACAACAATGTTTAAAGAGGTATAAGCAAAGGCAGGCAGGCGGGGCATTGCACGCTATGAGAAACAAAACACGGTAAAAAAAAACACCTCTCGGTACTACTGCAAAGCAACAAGAACCAACAAAGGTGAAGAATGCCAGGCCCGCACACGTGCGACAGTGGCTTTGTGGGGGACCAGCCATGGTATCTCCTTTCGGCGGTTCATTCCTAGGGCACGACACCTGCCAAGTCAAGGTGCAGTGTGACAAGCTGGGCGAGACAGTTTTCGCCACTGCCACACCAGAGGCGACTCCCACACGAGTTGCCAACCGTGCCGCCCGTCCTCCCGAGACAAGATGGACAGACGTACTGCAGCAAGCTGCTGCCACAAACTAAAAGTCTCTCTCTCTCTCTGGATTTTTTTTTTTCTCATAGTGCATCCCACGCAAGAGCGCTTGGCCAGACACAACAACCATTCGGGCACTGACGACGTTTGAAGGACGTGCCCGTCCACAGCTGCTCAGTCGACCTTGACGACACTGTAGATCTTGCGCACAAACCAGAAGCAGGAGAAGAAACCCACAGTGCCTGCAACGAGGGCAGAACCGTAGCTGAGGTCAACATCCTTGCACTTACACGCAGCAGCCACAGCTAGTACGACTCCCAGGAAGTAAGTAAGTTAAAATTATGTTCTCGTCAAATCGGCAGCATAACCACGAGGCACACAGTGGTGCATAAGTTTCCATCATTTTTGACTTACTGGTTTTCTTTCGAAGCTAAATCGAAGTGGCCACTGTTGCTGAAAGAGGCGCTCTCGCACCATCAACACTCATGCTGATTAGAACCCGTTATCACCACCAACGAAAAATACAATGCGAAGTAAATAAGTAGGACTTGCTCGCGCGTATTCGTTGTCCCCACGGAGCGCAGCATTTTAAAGTAAACAATGCAAATTATGAGATAGGGACTAAAGAAACTGAAAAGGACCACAATCACTGGTCTTCATAGCTTTCTCTTTGCTTTCTTCTTCTTCTTCTTCTTTTTTTTTTTTTTTGTTTGTTCGTCTGAGCTCATACTGTTTACTTGCAATTATTCAGAGCGAACCCAGCCCAAGCTCTGACTGACATCACTAAGGTGCAGCAGTTTGGGGGTGCAGAAGAGCAAGCCGCCATTTCCTTTTCTCGGCTAACCCCAGTTCGTTTCGGTACAGTGTTCTAGAAGGGGTTAGTGGGATCAGTAGCTGGAGCGCCCGATGAATTGAAGTGAGGCGGTGATTGCGGACGAGACCCGGATGCTGGTGGCGGCGCTGTAGTCGTGTGGGCTGGCTGGCGTGGCTGCCGCTGGTGCTTCGCGCGCTTGTTGTGACGGCCGCACGCACGGACGAATGAACGCACACAGCAATCAACCTAAACCCACGCAGTTCCTAATTGTCATTAATTGCACATAATTTTATGACCTTGGTAACACTGTACGCAAGGGGGAAAGTTGACCTTAACGGAGCTAGTGCAACAATAGTTCTTTCCTGAGTGCGCAAGATCCTATTGCTCAGGAAGCCAGGGTTCCTGCAGCGGACCATCTGATTGAAAAAGGGATCCTAGTATCAGCTGAACACATGTTTCGGAGTATTCCTGCAGAGCACAAAGAGTTGGTAGAGCAGAAGAGCGATGACCGTCTAATACATTATATGGTAGGTTATGTTGCTCGAAATTAAGTTTCTGAAGCGTTATGATTGCATGCCCTGCAAGACCCTTCTTTACGAAGCTCCTCATACGGAAAGCAGAAACACTGCAGTTCACTGTGACATGTCACAAGGGAGGCTTGTTGTATCCTTCACAGGAGCTTTTTAGGGCAGCTAAGAAATCTTCACTGTGTGTTCCAGCCAAGAGAAACTCGGCAAAACAGCACAGTAGATGTGATGTTGCTGGTGAATGAGAACTTTTGTAATGCCCTGATTGCAGCCAGCATCCAGATGCGCTCACGACAGAGGTGACCAAGTTCTATGAGCTGATCATGCTGCATTTTTATGTAAAAGGGGTCCACAAATAGCGACATGAACGGCGTAAAAAGAAATTGCATGCAAAGATAAGCTGTTGCTCTTAATGCCTCTCTTCGTTGCAGTCATGTACTTTGAGAGCACTGTGGTGTTTTGGGCCAATAAAGTTTTTTTGTTGCTAGTCTTGTTTTATTTTTTACTACGTCATAAGGTTCTCTATCTTGGGTCACTACTACAGCCGCACCATAGCGGCATCGTCTCGGGAATAATTAAATCCCAAGCTCTCAGTGGATATATACAAGCGTAAACGAAACCACTCGTAATGAATATTGATATAGGGCATATGTTCCGAATGTGTTAGTACATGCGGCACCGCAGTTGCCTGGCTTAATCGTACTTGTGAATGCAATTGAGACCTAACGTGTGACAATTATCAGTGTAAATAATATGGACAATTTAACCATTCAAATTTTTACCTCTACAATGTTCGCGAAGCCTTTAGTTTACCACTCGGCCGCATCAACCTGCGCCCATTTTCTGCACCTGTTGGGTCAGCTTTATTTTCACGCTAGCTTAAAACGTCCGCCTGTCAAGGTTTCTCTGTGCTTGTCTTAACTAGAGGGAATTTTCAGAAACATGCTAAATAACTCCGTGCTCCTTTTTTCGGTGAAACACGAAGCGCACACGGCTTTTTCCGCATTGCTGAGGCTCTGCATTTCCCGTTCCGAACAGCCCATGCGCTGATTGCGCCATCTCGCGGCGTCTACGTCAGATGTCACAACCGCGCGCTCTGCCTGATCCCACTACCCCCTTCTAGAACACTGTAGTTTCGGCAGTGCCTCGAATAATGCTAGAAAAATAAGGCAGACATCTGCTATTCACTTGGCCAGCCCGGACTCACCGGTGAGCAGGAAGAAGAGGAAGACGATGATGAGGGTGTATCCGAAGTAGAGGAAGGTTGAGGCCACGCCCGTGATGCTGAGGCGCGTGAAGTAGTGGATGCAGTAGACAAACAGGTAGAATGCCGTGCAGCCACTGGTGAGGAAGGACCGCCACCACCAGTGGTAGTCCTGCGTACACACAATCATTGCACCACGCGAAAACATTAACAAGTTGCGTACGTCAAATGGGAAAAAAACGAGGCTGCTCATTTCAGGAAAGTGCCGACCAAGGCCAACTCCGGCGATTCTTTGACCACGTCAGGATAATGGTGCTTTTATGTTTCTCAGACATTCTTCTCACACACCCGATAACTGAAATGCTAGAAAAAACTCGAAAATAATTTTCAATTACCCAAAAACCCCAATACCGAAACCGAAACCCAACGGAGTGCACTTCTACGTGTGACGTAAAGATTTCCCTGAGGCAGCCAGAACCTGCCTGATTGCAAATAATGCCTGCCAGATGGCATTACATGCCCAGGCCATCCGTGGCGGTCGGCTAAAACGTTTACCGTAATTACTCGAATCTAACGCGCACCTTTTTTCCGGTTGAGCGAGTTCATAAATAGCATGCGCGTTAGAATCGAGTACGGAAAAAAAAAAAATGAATACGGTCATTTTATTGCCATCGGCAATTCCAAAATGGCCGCCCCCTATGTGCGTCGGCACGGCGCGTTGGCCATTTCTGCTTATGTGTTTCACATGTGCGGCACTTCGTACGTGTGCTGAGGAGTTCGTCATCTGGTAATGCATTAGCATCGATGACATGAAAGGTCCGACTCCAAAAACTTGATGAATGCACCACGATGCCGCATCGCGGTCGTTCGGAGTTTCCAGAAACGTGCGTGCAGGACTGGCGGAAACAAAAGCAGAAGATTGTCAACAGCAAAGCTTCACGCAAAGGCTTCAGTGGACCACACCAGGGTCGGTTTCCGCAAATTGCAGAGCTGCTCGGTGAGTATGTGCTTGAGCAGCGAAGCGGCACAGTGGCCCGTAACGACAGAACTGCTCCAAGTGCGGGCTATGGCAGTTAGCCATAGAAAAAGGGCTAATGCGGAGCCAGTTTAAAACGAGCAGGTGCTGGCTAACTAACTTTATGAAGAGGAAAGGCTTTTCCCTCTGAAGGCGAACGGGCATATGCGAAAAGTTTCCGGAGGAGTACGATGAAAAGCTTCATAGTTTTCAGAGGTTCGTCCTTAACTTGCAGCACAACAACGGCTACCTGCTTGGGCAAATCAGGAATGCCGATCAGACGCCTCTTTACTTCGACATGCCTGGCACCACAACCGTCGAGAAGAAGGGGACGAAGCAAGTTCGCGTGCTGACATCAGGCCACAGTAAAACTAAAGTGACGGCAATGCTCCGTTGCACGTCAGATGGGCACAAGCTTCCCCCGTACCTCATATTTAAATGAAAGACGCTTCCGAAAGGAGTCGTTTTCCCGAGTAGTGTGATCGTGCGGGCCAACGAGAAAAGTGGGTGCGCGTTGCAATCGATGTCTTACTTTTTTTTTTTTTCCGTCGTGGAAACCGCGTGCGCGTTACAATCGAGGGTGCGGTAGAATCGAGTAAATACGGTACGCTGTTATAGTGAATACAGTTAAACCCCTTTATAAAAGGCATGCACTTGGCAGCAAGTCTTGTCTCTTATATGAGATGGCTCTTATAAGCAGGGCACCACGTAGGCATTTCCTTATCAACCCATATCTCACTGTAGGCACATTGGTGTCTCTTATACCCATTTGTCTCTTATATCAGCGTCTCTTATAAAGGGGTTCGGCTGCATATGGCAAATCGTGTGTGGCTCACAAAGCAACACCACTTGGCACCTAACGCACGCCCACCAACACAGAAAAGGAAATCGCATGCTCAACTAAGGAAGCACCGGCCAAACCCACACAATCCATAGCAGACAAGCGGACGCTGCAGTGGCACATCAATTCATCACTTCCGCCACGCAAAGCTCAACCTCGCATACACAATGTTGCCATTTATTCTGGCAAGCGATGTGAGCGTTTTGAGGCAAACTATAAGATTATTTCAAAAGAATCTGCGAAACTCTCAAGCCCGCAATTTGGCATGAATGGCGCAAACATGCAAATGAACGTACCCGGTGAATTTCACTGAGATCCATTGACATCGAAAAATCGCCGGAGTTGGCAATTAAAGGTGTGATGCCATATAATTTCGAGGCCAAAACAAGCCTCTTGTGGGTTTCCTCTGTATGCAAGGACACTCCACACGAATGGTCAGACACAGCGAACGTTCAGAATATACTTTAATTTGCCTCTAAAATGTACCTAAATGCTCATTCTCCCAACCAAAGCCCATCGCAAGCGCATCGAGAACTGTCGTAGCTTTGTAGGAAGGGCAACGAAAGTTGTGGTGACGTCACACCAGACCTGTAGTGAGTGTTGGCGCACGCAGGTTGGCCCTTCAGGGGGGCAAGGGTTTCTCGCAGTACACCCTCTCCCTATTACGTCAATGTAGGGCTTTGCATCCCCTCCCCCTTACAGTTTCCCTCCCTATTAGGCCAATGTATGGGGCTGTGCACACCCCCCTCGTAGGCGACTATGTGAGGGACCAGCCCCTTACCCCCCTCCTGTGTGCACGCCTATTGTAGTGAGGTGAGTGGCCTCTGAAGACCTTTACCACATACGTACCAGCAAAGCATCGTGGCTTCCGCACGTTTGTTTTGCAGGTGCTTGTGTGACATGTGTGTGCAAGAGCAAATGGTAATCACAATGACGTGGATCACATCCTTGTGTGGTCATGGACCAAGCCACTTACAGTGCTATGTGACAGCCCGATTCGGTTCTTAGAAACCGAAAACTGTCCACACAAGAAAGGCAATATTAATTTATTTAGCGAGAATAAATGAATCTTGGCGTGTGTATCAAGCTTCCTGAAGCTATAAGAAACGCTTGCAGCAAAGAATGCATAAGCGATAAATTTGGTGGAATCACCCCTTTAAGTAAGTGTTACGCAAGCGATAAGTGATGGCACGGGAAAAAGTATCCCAGCATTTCGAATATTTGAAGATGTATTACAGTATTCTAATTCACTTAGCATCTCGTATCTCGCCAAGCAGATATCTGGCGAAGCAGACTGGGAAAGCCAATCCCTTCAGCACAGATGAGTTGACCAATGTTGCCTCTATGTTTCAACAGCCCTAAAGCGCTTATAGCCCTTGACAACAACCAGCATAGCAAGTACAACATGGTTTTTTTTTTTTAGAGCTTCAGTGAGGACGAAAAAATGCCTCGCATGCTAAGCCAGTCTCTTGAACTGCAAGGTACGACTGAGTAAGTTATTCACAAATTATAAACTGTCGCATTTTTTTTTTTAATTTTGTTTTGCTCTTTTTCTCGCTTATTTTGGAACACTCAGTCGGTACCACTTACTGTAGATCAATGGTTCTGAAATTGTGTTCTGAAGAACCCAGGACTCCTGTGAAAAATACTATAGCTCTCATAAAAGTGGAATAAATGTGAACAAATCCCATTTTACCTCTCTTTTAAGGGGAGATGCGAGTCGAAAAATCGCGTTTTTAGCGAACTTTCTCGTATTTCTGATTTTTATTGCATTGTAATTTTCAAACCTCCTTCTTTCATCTGTGAAAATTTCAAAACTAAATTCGAACCCCAAAATGCAAAAAAATGTGTATGAAGGCATCGGGGTGGCTCAAAATTTCGTGAATTTGCGCCGATATTGGCCATCTTTGACTGCACGCTGCTCCCCGTCGCAGTGCCGCCCGCCATCGTGATCGGTTGGGAAAGTTGCGTCCGGCCTTCTTCTTACAGCTCCGACGACAGCCAGTTTCGTACGTGGGCAAAAAAAAAATAAAAAACGAGGCCTTTTTATCACGTGGTTTGAGCAGTTTGAAATGCGCGGCACCCTAAGCCGCATCGCCATTGGCTACCGAGTCGTTGCCAGCTGTGTTGGTGGCGGCCATCGGCATTTGGTCCGTCTGCTTTTCTGCGCGTCTACGCATATTTCCGCGATGACAAGCCCGAAAAAGTGCAACGTGAGACCGCAGAAGTTTCGAACGAAGCACAAGTTCAAGGGAAGGCGGCATAAAGTGCCCCGAACGACGGCGATGAACGAGAACACGCCTACGTGTGCTAGGCCTGACGGCGGCATCGACGAGTGCGCGAACGACAGTGGCTGCAATGAAGGGATTGACGCTGCGCTTTCTTTCTTCAGTGCTTCGGAAAAGAAGCTCGACTTCTTCGAAAAAGACGAAAGACAGCGCGATGAGGTTTGTGCAACGACAGTTTTGTGCGACACCCTCTTGCTGACGGCACTTGTGGCAGGTGCGGCATGCCCTGCTTGCGGTATTCAAAAACTTGCCGTTCGGGAGCCGGCAGAAAAGCGCAAGGGACTTTCGTCGCTCCTCGAACTTCATTGCGAAAACAGCGAATGCTCAGCGACTGTTCTTTCGTGCTCCTATACGTCACTGCGTGTTACAACGAACGGCAGCAGCCGAGTGAGCCAACGGTACGACAGTGGGAGCTCCCGAGATAGTTTCGCTGTAAATGTGAAGGCGGTGGTGGCTGCACGCGCTGTCGGCATTGGGCATGAGCAATTGTCGAGATTTTGCTCCATTATTGGACTCCCAAAGCCAATGCACCACCGAGGATTTTTTTCGATAGCAAAGAAGGTGCACACCGCTGCCATGGCAGCTGTGAGTGAAAACTTGCGCCGATCCGGAGAGTTGACGAAAGAAGTAGCAGGCGAAACTGATGTGGCTGTTATGTTCGACGGCACTTGGCAGAAGAGGGGCCACAAAAGCCACAACGGGATTGGCGCAGTTATCTCCTTAGATACTGGCCTCTGCTTAGACTTCGAGGTCATATCAAATTACTGCCTGACATGCAGTAGGCACAAGAATATGGGCCCAGATGAGGAAGTGTGGCAGGCATTCCATGGCCCAGTCTGTGAAAAAAATGCAGACTGTTCCTCCCATGCCATGGAAACGGAGGCTGCAATGCGCATTTGGCAGAGAACATTGACTTATGACACCCCACTGCATTTCATGACATTCTTGAGTGACGGTGACAGCAAAGCATATAGTGCAGTTGCAGAGTCAAAAGTCTATGGTGCTGTCAATATAGAAAAAGAAGACTGCACAAATCATATGGCCAAGAGACTTGGCACCGCGCTACGGAAGCTGCATGTGCCATTATCACGAGGGCAGAAAATGAAAGAGCCAGCCATTCAGAAGCTCCAAACATACTATCAGATTGCCATAACAAGCAACAGGGGGAGTGTACGGAATATGTGCACTGCAATATGGGCTTCGTACTTCGACTCATGCTCTACTGACAATGCTGGCAGCCACAAGTTTTGCCCTGCAGGAACAGAGTCGTGGTGCAAACATCAACGCGCTGAAGCACTTGGTGAACCTGCACCACGCCACACACCTCTCCTGACAAAAGCACAGGGATTGGCTGTTTTGCCCATTTATAAGCGGCTAATGGATGAGAAGCTCCTTGCTCGATGCATCAAAGGGAAAACCCAGAACGCATCGAAATCCCTGAACAGCAAAATTTGGCTACTTTGCCCCAAGACTAAGTTTGTCTCCCAAACGGTTGTCGAGACTGCCGCAGCTATGGCAATCCTGTGGTTCAACAAGGGTCATGCTACTTTTGAGCACATCCTGGAAGAGCTCAACATACTGCTATCTAGAGATCTAGTTACTTTCAGCGATTCCGGCGATGCCAGGCACATCAAGAGAATGTCCGAGCGTCTGACAGCTGAAGCAAGGGCCTACCGTCGTCGTGGAGTGAAAAGGGCACAGCTAGAAGAGAGTGCTCGCAAAGACCGTGAGGGCACAACCTATGCTGCAGGACAGTTCTAGTAACTTGCAGTGCTTTTCAAAGTTCTGTTGAGCATTATGGCCAAAGACTATGCATTTCTAACAACTCTGTGATAAAAAAAAAAGGTTTCAAACTTTCAAATGCGTTTTTCTCCTTTTGCAGTTTTGTGTGATCTGTGCTTCCTATACACGCTAGTTCTTATACTTAGAATTGTCATACCTCTATGAAATTTTGCACATAGCATGATGAAGGCCCATAGAGTGCAAGTATCTATTCAGATTGTCAGTGCTGCTTGATTATGTTTTTCAAAAATAACATAACATTGAAAGCCCTTGGCAACTAGAGCCATAGTAAATTTTTCTATTTTATTATTGTATTTCACCTTTTTACACACAAAATTTATATAGTTTTTTGCACTCTGCAGTTCCAAAGGATCATAGTCAGCTATATCTGCATGCTTTATCTCAAATTTTTATAGGTCAGAATTGTTGCATAACAATGGCCATAATTTTGCAGTATCTGACCTGCAGAAAGAAAACCAAGCAATCTACATGAAGATAAATGACATATTTGAAAAGAGGAGAAAAAACTCTATTAGCATGACAATTTGTGTTAAATTCAGACTCTTATTAAAGAAAATCGTTTTTCGAGTAGCATCTCCCCTTAATACACTCTTTACTGATCTAGAGAAAGAAATCGGTATTGCATTCCCCTTTCCATACTCGATTATTTGTGTGCCTAAGGCTGAGAAGAGAGGAAAGGGCTCTACAGTGCTCTGGAAAAACTGATCACCATGGAGTTTTTATGGCGGTTAAATTGTAGAAATCCTGCTCCCAACACATTAGCAATGACCTATTTTAAGGAAGCCATACTTTCCTTGATACAGATATGGATTCACAATTCACTCAAATTTGTGTTTCACTGCTTTTGACAAGACTTCCATCCTAGTCTCCATCAATTACAAATTTAGGGGCAATCGGTGCAGTGCACAAGTCTCAGGGAAAGATGGACGGTACAAAAAAAAAAATGATAATTCTTGCCTCTGAGCAGAGGTGGAAGTAGCAGAGCAGTATAGTGGTCTCGGAGCAGGTGATGATCAAAATGATGAACACCAGGAACAGGAATCCAAACATGTAGTACATCTGGCTAGACCTGAAACATACACACCACATGCAGACGCAAAACATCAGCACATGTAGTATTACATAGGTGTTACAGTAGCCTTATGAAAGACGAAATCCTAGAACAGCTCATCGGAAAGGTAGCCAGCCTGTGTTACAAGTAGTTGCTTGATAACCTACACACATACGTTACGTCAAACGTAGGCAAGAATATGATGAACAGCAAAAAGTGTGGCACCACTGGCACATGGCCAAGTGTGCAAAAATCACACAGTGAGCTTTGAAAGTGGAATTTTTCAACTGCTGTGCTGTCATATACACTGGAAAGTGATCACACAGAGCACATGCATGGGGATGTTTTGGTTTAGCGAACAATTTCAGTTTATTACACCCACTGACAAGTCAATTCAACTTCATTGGAATGATATTTCGAATGTGTGAATCTCAACAGGGTTTTCAAGTAAAGTTTTGTTCAGTTCATTATATTCATTTTCTTTTTTTAACCGCCCGTATTGTTAGAATGATGTCTAGGTACCCTATTCTAACCCTCCAAACAATGTTTTCTGCATATGAAGAATCCGCACAGTTGTTCCCAATGCTGCATTTGTGCTTTTAACACAAGAAGTATGGTGCCATCATATCAACACCACTTTACATTAATTACAAATGACTGCTAAATATTGAAAAATTATTACTCAAAAAACACCTGGCATTATTCAATTCGGACTGTAAATATCAATACTGACGCATCCCTAGTTTTCGCAACAGTATGTTGGCTTGCTAGGTGTAGTCCGAAGTGTCGACAAGCATTGGCTTTGCCTTACCGACTAGTATTACAGAGTTGCACGTAAACAGATCACTCCCAAACTCCCTCACTCTCCTGTTCTTTATCACCAAGCAACACATACCGTAATCACCAGTCGGTGAGCCACTATAGTGTGCTGCATTCAGCAACTGGCACTGTACTGCCGAACCTTAACTCGCTCCTACAATTGCACCATCACCACCACGATACCCTCTCCAGAGCTTATTAAATGTATAAATGCTCCGCTCACTTGGGTGCCTCAAGGTTAGGCCTCAGTGACCTGCCATACAATATTTTTTAAAAAAAACTTGCACAACAGACTACTCACCAGATGGAGTTGAGGATGAAGAATAGCTGGATGAAGATGCACCCAAAGGGCAGGATACCACCCATGAAGATTGCCGGCACCACCTGGGTGTACAGGGACTGCTCGGGGATCTGTCGGGGAATCTGATTGGTCCGCACGGGGTTCTCCAGCACCTGTCATCCCGAGAAAGAAAACATGAAGCTGCGTACTATCGCCACACCACATCAGCTCAGCTATAGACACAATTAGTGATAAGAAAAGTTTGAAGCAGTGCCAAGACAAGAAAATGTAGACAGGGAAGCAGAGAAGCTGAAAGAAGAAGCGCTGCGCTGAGTTTTTTCAACTTGTTGCCCCGAACTGTGCCTTGAGTAAAGTAGGACTATCAAGGATGGATAGTCAAAGAGACCCACTATCAACTCAAGTTCACATTCACAGCATGCAGCAAATGCAGAGCTTCACAATAACTTGTCAGAAATTTAACTGAATTACACGTGAGAATGGACACTTGTCTATTGTCACATGTAATTCAGTGAAGTTGCTGACTAGTCAACTAATAGCTTTTAAACATCCACAGGAATGGAAGCAAACTTAAGTGTTTTGGAGCAGCTCAGAGAGCAAGAATAATGCTGTTTTGGAGCAGCTTTGACGCAGTAAAAAGGGGGTTTCTGAGCAGGTTCGAAGCACCAAAAAGTGTGCTTTGGGGCAACGTGAGTTAGTTTTAGGGCACCTTTGTTGAGTAAAACATCGTCGTCAATCAAAACTATTTCTGTCAAAAAAAATTCCAATGGTTTTCACTAAGCATTTGGTACCAATGAGATTAGCAGATTTGCCACTTGCAAATGTGTATGTGCGTGTTCCCCATCATTAAGCATCACAGCTGACAAAGAAGTAACTTGGAGAAAACAAGGGATAAGGGATAAACGGTACATTGGCAAAACAGGACAGATATTAATGTTACGTTAAACATTCACAGTGCAGACACAACAAAGAAAAGCAGTGGCACAGCATTTCAATGTAGTAGGACACAACTTCGGCGATCCCAAACTCTAGATGCTTCATTCGAACTTCCAGTCCGCAGGAGACAGAAAATATGGAGTCGTACCTTATTCACAAGTTCAACACACTCCAGCCAGTAGGTATAAATGTTTCTAAAGGGGCTCTTGAATCCGTTCGGTATGATACATAAACTAAGAAAACCACTGCGAGTCAAGCCCCTTCGTCTAGGAATTTCAAACCTACCAATGTTGACCTCTGCCAACCGTGATTCAGTGACACGTGTAGATCTCCACCTCCCCACTGCTTCCTCATTTTCTTTTTATTCACGGAAAACCTATTCACTCTTCACTCATACAATTTGTCACAATACCTCTACTCCCCTCCACTCTTTCACACCAGCATCGCCCCTCCCCATCTTTTGTTAGGATGGAAGAGAGGGTACAAAACGTAGACACGCTAGCGCAAAAGAAAACGGTTCTGTTCTAGCCTTAAGGAAGAGGAAAAGGTTCTGTTCTAGCCTTAAGGAAAAGGAAAAGGTTCTGTTCTAGCCTTAAGGAAGACAAGTCTGCTTGTCGAAACGGCGGCTTGACACAACCCTTGTTCACGGATTTTTTTCATCGCAAGCATCCATCTTTCCCATCCTGTCGTTTTTAGGATTACCAGATGTAGGTACGCCAATCTGAGAAACCTCTACACCAATAACCGTTTAGCCAATTGAGCAAGTTTTTGTGACCGACGTAAAAAGCAGTAATGATCCGCTTGCTAACAGCTAAATCAAAACAGCTACCACACAAAATCTGCGCTGCAGTGCCACTGCATGAGCTTTCACAACCAGAGCTCTAAAGGCTAGCTTTTGACAAAAAATTATAATAGAGTGTGATGTGTGAATCAGATATCTAGCTACCTTAAACTCCACAAAAAAGGTTGTTGACCGTATGGTGTGGAATATAGGTCGAGATTTTTTCCAACAAATGTCGCTAAAAAGTCACTCCTCGACCTATACACCGGCCTTTGGCATAAACCAAGTGATCGTCTGGCAACAGGGAGTGTCGCATCGCATGTTTTTTGGGCATCAGCATCGACGTAGCCTCTTTGAGTCGTCGCGTTCTCTGCCGACGTCATTTTTCTTTTCTTGTTCATTCAGCGTTCGTAGCGAGTGGTAACCTTACTCTGTGACCAGCTATGAATAGCGGGACGCGCCACCAGTTCACTGCCGCGTTTAAAAGAAAAGTTATCTAATTTGTGGAAGCGCATGGCAACATGGCGGCACAGCGGCAGTTTGGAGTGTCCAAGAATAGCGTAAGGTACTGGCACAACCAAATATTCAAACTGTTAGTGTGTTGTTTCGGGGTCGCCGAGTTGTGCACCCGGAACTCGAGGACAAAGTGGCAGACTTTGTCCACAAGTACCGCACCAGATCCCTGCCAGTGAATGCGGAGCTCGTTCGCTCAAAAGCTGTCGAGCTCACCCGTGAAGCCGGTCTGTCGAAGAAAGACTTCAAGGGATTCATTTATTGGGTCCGTCGCTTCATGCAACGCAAGGGATTTGCCCTTCGACGGCGCACAATGATATGCCAGAAGCTGCCGGAGATGTACGAGGACAAATTGATAGAGTTTCAAATCTATGTGAACAGCCTCCGGCGGCAGCATGGCTACATATGCTAGGCCAGATCAGCAACGCCGACGAAACGCTGGTGTGGTTCGACATGCCGCCATCGACGACTGTTTGTGAACGCGGGGCAAAAGAGGTCATGCTTTTGTCGACCGGAAGCGAGCATTCGTGCTTCACTGTTATGCTTTTCTGCACGACCGACGGCAGAAAGTTGCCCCCTTTATTATCTTCAAGTGGAAGACGATGCCGAAGGAGGCCTTCCTGCGGGATGTCGTCGTTCGCATCAACGAGAAGGGGTATATGGACGAGGCCCTAATGCGCAAGTGGATCCGCAAAGTGTGGATGGAACCGGTGGCTCGGAGCACTGCTGCAGCACCGGAAAATGCTCGTGTTGGATGCATTTCGCGGGCATTTGACAACATCAGTGAAGGCGAGCCTTCGCGACGGAAAGGCGGATCTTGTCGTCATTCCGGGAGCGATGACGTCAACACTGCAACTGCTGGACGTCGTCCTTGATAAACATTTCAAAGACCGTGTGCATGCATTGCACACCAAATGGATGGCTGGCGACAACCCGCGGACACCAACAGGCCGGCTGCGCAGGCCACCTCTCGCGACAGTTTCTGGTCGGGTCTCCGAGGCATGGAGGTCTCTGCCTGAAGAGATGGTGGTGCGCACATTCAAGAAGTGCTGCATCAGCAACGCTCTCGATGGCACTGAGGACGACATGCTATGGGAGGCGGCTAGTGATAAGCAGTCGTCGTCGAAGGAGAGCTCCGACCGGTTGCCGCGTATTTCTTTTTTCTTTTTTTTTGCGCTGATCAAGGTAAGGGAGTCGACCAATATTCCGCCTCGACCTATATTCCGCATTATACAGTACTTATATGAGGCTTTTGCTATGTAGCTCAGCTTATAATCACTGTAAATATTCTTTAAAAAAAACTAGAAAAGTCTCTGTAAACGATTTAACAATGAGCATACCATCACATCTCTGTCTTCACCGATACACAAAACTGGGCCTAGGTCTCACAAACAATGTCAGAGTGATAGACTCCGGTTTGACATCTAGCAACCACCTGTCCTTAGTTTTTTAACTGCACGAAGAGGTCACTGTGCCATGTGCACTATCATTCTGAGACGAGGCAGTCACTGACACTCACCCTGCGCTTGAAGCCAAAGTAGGCGCCCACAAAGGTGAGCGGAAGCGAGATACCAAACCAGAGAGCCAGCAGCGCGAGCAGGGTGGTGAAGGGAACAGCAGCCGAGCTCTCCTTAGCCCACAGCAGCAGGTTCAGGACGAAAAACAGGCTGAACACAACGCCAGGGCACACCAGCGCCGTCAGCAGCACATTCAGCTTCCACTGCTCCCCGCCAAAGGCTGAAACAGGTAAAGGACACTCTGGGGTGACACTGGCATTACAACGACAATGAATTGAGGTCGCGGCAAATAAAATTGAGTGAATAAAGGAAGGGCATTATCTATGGAAGAACTTGATATTCCAAAAAACATGTCTACTACATTAAAAGCTCGTCAATAAAATGCATGGAATTAGAAAAATTGGCCAAAATAATGCGTAATTTTCAAAAGTATTAAGAAAACAATAGATAACAGTCTATCCCATCAATGCCTTTTTTTTTGGTGAATACATAAATCCAGTATTTGTATGAGAGCAGTTTTTTACTATGTGACCATGGCTCCAAACCCCCTTTGTCTCAATCCGAAACATGCTCTGAACTTATCTCTTCTAACATACCGTCATTACCAACACCACTATGCACACGAGACAATTTCTTCATCGCAGAAATGCCGCATTTACTCGCGTAATCCTCGCACATTTTTTGGTGGAAAACCGATGCAAAGTTGGCGCGTGGGAGAAATACGCGGGGAAAACTTTCCACGAAAACGTAGAGCGAAAAAGAAAACGAAGTGGCCGCAAATCAGGATTCTCACACTAGCAACTAACAGCAAGCTTTCAGAAGTACTAATTAAAACTTACCTCAACATTAAAAGCCCAGGTTCAACACAAGGCAATATTTATTTGAGACACAAAAAGTGCAAGCAAATAGTTGAGAATTCGAATACCGTACACAAAGCTTGTGGGTCTTGTGGGCGTAGCGGTAGCGTTCGTCGCTCAACAGGAGCCCTCAAAAGACAAGCGTAGGACCTCAGTATTGGGCTGATGGCTATTTAACAGAATCGTCCACAGTTTCCTTTTGAATAAATAAAGTTTACCATCAATCCCAGTCTTAGGCACACAGCAGGCCTTATGCGTCTTGGTGGCTTTCAGCTGCCTTCACCAGTAGCGAACACAAAACTTGCAGACTCCTAAGCGCCTACCGGCGGCCCTGCTGCCGTTGCTTAGTGCATGGTCTATCACTTTCAAATTGAAAGCAGCCGTGTAGCTCCAGTATCGCCCTATAACGTGACAAGATTACCGACACAACACACAAAACACGCCGCAACGCGCACTTGCCACTTTGGCTTGGCTTGGATTGGACTGAATTTCCGTGCAATAATAGTATGCTAGATGCTTAAGAGATAGCACCAAATGGCGCGCACTATCATCATCAGTGCCTGGAATGAGCAGAAAACATTATTGCGGCAGTTTTCGGGGGTGCGATAATTACTCGAGAAAAAAAAGAAATCGTATTTTTGATGGGCAATGTGAGGGATGCGAAAATTACGCGAGTAAATACGGTAGCCGGAAACAGATTGTTAATCGATTAAAATTGTTGCAAGCGAGTTTTTTGCCAGCATGCGGACCACAGCTGAAGCTCTTAATCTTCAACATTTTCCACCATGTTTAGCTCCGCCGTGGTGGTCTAGTGGCTAAGGTACACGGCTACTGACCCGCAGGTCGCGGGTTCGAATCCCGGCTGCGGCGGCTGCATTTCCGATGGAGGCGGAAATGGTGTAGGCCCGTGTGCTCAGATTTGGGTGCATGTTAAAGAACCCCAGGTGGTCGAAATTTCCGGAGCCCTCCACTACGGCGTCTTTCATAATCATATGGTGGTTTTGGGACGTTAAACCCCACATTATCAATCAATCATTTCCACCATGTTTAAGTTTGGTGACACTGCATTCACATTGCCCTCAGTCAAAAGGAGACTACTGAGGGATGCGTCCACTGCATACGAAGCTGTGATCACTAAAGACACGATCATAGCTTCCACGCAGTCCTGAAGAGATGTGCGCGGCCTATGCCAGGGATGAAATGAAACTGCTGAGCATCACATCTGCTGCTGAATAGACCTGGCTCACTAATGAACAATCATGAATGGTGACTACCCAGTTCTGAAGATGCGTGGCGAGAATGAACATAGTGCTTGTCGCTATCAACACAATCATTGATAGAGCCCACACTGTGTACGCTGAACCTGCTAGAAAATGTGGCGGCCTCATTTTCAGTGGAGGGAAAAATGATTGAGGCCTGCGTGCTTATATTTTTACGTGCACAATAAAGAGCCCCTGATGATAAAAATTTCCGAAACATTCCACTACGGCATATTTCATAATTGTATGGTGGCTTTAGAACCTTAAGCCCCAACAATTATTATTATATTATTGTGTGCACAGAGTAAAACTGAAAACTAAACAGGTTTACCACAGCCACTGAGAAGTCTTGGTCACCAACGTCATTATGCAAACATTGTAGAATGGCTGGAATGGCGACCATGCCTTTTTGAAGGCCTGCACCTGTTTAAGTTGTTCGTGAATGCCGTCTTATCTCCTTTGCATCACACATTTGCTGCTTTTCATGGTTGGCGTACTCCGAGAATCGTCCAAATTAAAATGTGGCCATATAGGACTGAATTCATAAGTTTGATATTAAGCAATATATATGTTTGCCGGGGCTAGAGAGCACACCCCAATTATCTTATTTTCTGAATTGATGGGGATCAAGTTAATGAGCTTTTACTTTTACTATACAGCCTACGTGCAAATTGGCTGCCTTTGCTGCCATTCATTATTTGGACTGAGTTACCAAGGTTTTGTCTTACAAGTACAGACACGAGCCCATGTGCCCAGAGCCATACGAGTACACTCACACTTGTAGATCCTAGCTGAGACATATCCAGCTGGTGTTCCAAGGCACACAAATAGGACCTGAGGAAGGAAAAGGCAGTGGAGAAAGAGAAAAAAAAAAGCTTGCTGTATGTTGCCATGTGCTTGGGTCTGTGAAACAAAGCAAGCAATGTAACCACAGCTACTGCTTTGACAATGCGGGTACACAGGCAATGCTCCTTTTGCTCCGTTTTCATGCAATGGCATCTAGAAAACGTGCCCGACACCACACTGAAGCAAGTTATTATGTGATCTTTGCCCTGCTACACATCGATCACAAATCACATTCACACGCTCTGGTGCTCACTGCCACATAGTCCCTCCCACCACAGTGGGAAGCTGGGACTTGATTATTTGCTTCACCTCACCTACAAAACTGTCACTGATGCATCAATGTGCCTATAGCCCATTAATGCCGACCATCAGCTAGGTTATATGGTTCAAGAGAACCACTTCTCAGTCGAGTTTGTGCTTCTTAAATGGTGCATATTGCTGTACCTTAAAGAGTGAAAACAAAAAGGATGGATTTTGAAGACTTGTTTCTTTGTTTGACACAAGCTTAAGAAAAACCAGCAGATAATGAAGCCAAGGAATGCATAGGGGACGTTAATTGTACCACGTTATTAAACAGACACTAAAGGCAAAGGACAATTTATGTCAGAGTGAAAGCTCAGTATATGACAACATCTAAAACGGCAATACTATCACAAGCAATGCCCTACTTACCGAGAAATTGAGCTAAATGTATCGCGCTACGTCGCCACGAGTGAGACATTTGCGAAATGATTCCGATGACGTTAAAGTGTCCACCTACAATTAAGCCTTAGTAATCAAACCAGCTGCAATAAAAAAAGAACTTTCGGTGCATCAAGAGACGTAATAAAATACTGTGGGTCCATTTCTGTTCTATATTTGGAAAAAAGAACAACATGATTTTACTATGAAAAATGGCACGAGTGGTTCAAAAGTTTTGTCATTACCTAGTTAGGCTGGATAGGTTGCAGCGTCTAACAGAGCCCAGTTGAACCAAGCAAGCAGAATCATGGTTTCCGAGATTGCAGAAAAACGTTCACTGGCCGTTGTTGCTACTGTGACTGCGATTCTGAACTCACGAGAGTGCAAGTCGAGGGATTGTCATCGTGGGTGCGCCGATTTATGAAGCAGAAAGGTTTTGCGCTGAGGCGACATACCTTCGTCTTTCCGCAAATGCTGCATCAGTAACGCATCAGGTGGAATGGAAGATGATGCACTCTGGGATGTTACTAGTGAAAAACAGACGTCGTTGGACTCAAGTTTGAACGAGTCTGAGAGATGACACTTTGTGGCCTTCTGGCATTTAGCTACATAAGTTTAGCGTTCAAATTACCGTATTTACACGCATAATCGGCACACTCGCAAAAACCCCTAGTTTGGTCGCGGAAAATTCGATTTTTTTTTAATTCCGCGCATAATAGGCGCACCCCGAACTTGGCCGTGATCAGAAACGATTCTACCCCCCAGCGGTACAGTTGGAACGCGGTCCCCGTACCCTGAAGAAAAAAAGAAGGCAAATCGACGAGCAAATAAAAAAAATTCTAAGTGCAACGACCTAACCAACGTGTTTGTCGAAATAAAACTTGAAAAAAAAAAAAAGCGTCCATGAGCGAAAAAAAAAAATGGCTGTTCCATCAATTACTGATACCCCCCAAATCGCCGCGCTTTTTTGAGGTCACGTGTACAACGCCGGGGGCTCGATCGCCATCACCACCATCAGAGAAAAAGAAAGAAACGCCATTTTGCAAGCGGTGTGCGTATGTTGTGGTCGTGTATTGAACTTTGGTTCCACCATGGAAAAGTACGCGAGCTAAACGGCTAGGTTTAAACTGAAGGCAGTGCAGTATGCGCTGGAGCACGGCAACCGGGCTGCAAGCAGGCATTTCGGCGTTGGAGAAACTAGTATTCGGTACTGGAGGGACCAAGAAGAAAAACTTAAGGCGACGAAGAAGACACGACGGGCTTTCCGCGGTGCCAAGACCGGCAGGTTTCCGAACGTCGAAGAGCAACTGGTCCGGCATATACGGGAGCTACGACAAGACGGCTGTGCTGTGTCGTTGGATATTGTGCAGACTGAGGCACGCAGAATAGCCCGAGCGCAGAGCATCGAAGCAAAAGAGTTCAAAGCCAGCTCTGGACGGACAACTCGTTTCATGCGGTGCCATGGCCTCGCACTGCGAAGGCGGACCACCTTGTGCCAGCGCTTGCGCAGCATATGAGGGCAAAGTGGTGGACTTCCACAGTTTTGTTATAAGCAGAAAGACAGCAGAAAGACTTCATTTTGTCCCAGATCGGCAACACTGATCAGACCCCCCTTTGCTTTGATATGCCGTGGAACACGACAGTGGAGGAGAAAGGTGCACGGAGCGTCATCGTCAGAACGTCTGGCGCTGATAAACAACGATGCACCGTAATGCTGGCGGTGACAGCGGATGGGCGTAAGCTACCGCCTTACGTTATTTTTAAACATAAGACGCTCCCAAAGGCAAAATTCCCTCAAGGCATCTACGTCAGAGTCCAGGAAAAAGGCTGGATGAGCGCGGAACTCATGGTGGATTGGGTGAAAACAGTCTGGGGTCGGCGGCCGGGTGGTCTGTTGTTGCCGTCCATGCTTGTCCTGGACAGTTTTCGTGGGCACCTAGTAGACCGCGTACGAGATGAGCTAAAGGAGCTGCGCACAGATCTGGCAGTGATTCTGGGCGGCCTCACATCGATACTGCAGCCTTTGGACGTGTCCTTGAATAAACCTTTCAAGGACAATGTTCGAAGGCTGTACACCACCTGGATGGCTAGAGGACAACATCAGCTGACTACAGGTGGTAAGATTAAGAGGCCGCCTGTGGAAATGCTGTGCGCTTGGATCGTGGAAGCGTGGCAGGCGATCTCCGACGAAGTCGTCAAGAAAGGCTTCAAGAAGACGGGTATCTCGAACGCACTGGATGCGAGTGAGGATGACATGTTGTGGGGTGCGGATGATTCGGACAACATGTCATCCTCCCTCGCACTGGATGCGAGTCAGGATGACATGTTGTGGGGTGCGGATGATTCGGACACCGAAAACGAATCCCCGCTCGGCGAGGATGAATGTGTGATCTCCGACTCGAACTCCGAATAGGGAAAAGGAGGAACAGCTACGACTTTTGTGTAAATAAATTTTACGTGTGTGTGTGCAGTTGACGGCTCTCGCTTGTTCATTAAAAGGTACGTAGGTATGTTTGTTTTATGCTGAATTAATTGGTAAACGATAAAGTCGCCTTTTACTTGACAAGTGTGCAGATTTTAAGCGCGAGAACCGAGTTGAAAAAATTTTCGAAAATTTTACCCCGCGTAATTGGCGCACCCCTAACTTCGAGCCGGATTTTCTGAAAAAAAAAAAGTGCGCCTATTATGCGAGTAAATACGGTAATAAGAAATTTCAACACGGTGCAGCTGGTCGTGTCGCGTATTTACCAAGGTAAGGGTGCGCCACGATACTTTGCAACAATTGAAAATTTCTTTTTTGGAGATTCAAAGCTTGTGGGGTCGACCTATATTCCAGTCCGACCTATAGTATTCCGCTTTTACGGTAGATGCGAAGAAAGTAAAATGAAAACTTGCATGACAGGGTTCATACAGGTTTCCAAAGGAAAAAATTCAATTCAAGGACTTTCCAGGACCTGTTAAATGTTCTTCAAGGACTCAATGTGGCATGCTAAGGCGGAATTCTTCACTCTAAAATTTTCAAAAATGACCACTTTCATTGCATTTATATATATATGTGGATATCACAATTATAAAAAAAAAAACGTAGTCTTAATTTCTCAAACTAGGAGAGGGCACGGTGTCATGTCGGAAAGTTACGTGCTGATGGGCTTCCACGCACTTGTATAGTGAGGCTTTAAAGGGGTCATGCCACAATACTTGTGGCTTGCATGTTCTTTGCTACAAGCTTTAATTATAGCTCGAATAAGTACGATACACGTACCAAGATTCATTTATTCTCGCTATATAATTTGTCGCCTTTTTGATATGGACAATTTTAAGTTCCTGTTTGTGGGGACCGAGTTGTGCAGGTACACAGCAATGTAGCCGACTTAGTCACATGATCCCAAAGCTTTGCGCGCCTCATGCTGAGTATTGCCAGCTCTCGCACACATGTGCCACACAAGCACCTGCAAAAGAAGCTCGCCGCTACCTGCAGCAGCCGAGATGCTTTGCGGGTATGTACAGGGCAGAAGTCCGTAAGTCACTCAGCTGACTACAGATCTGGTGTGAAGTCACTAGGACTTTTGTTGTCCTTTCCTATAGAGTTACGTCAGTGTTGAACGCGCTCGCGATGGGCCTCGATTAAGAGATTGAGCATTTAAATACACTTGGGAAGTGACTTAAAATATATTCTTAAACCCCCAAAGTTCTTGCTATAGCCTTGAAATGTAATGGCAACACCCCATCAAGAGTGTTGGCTTGTACACAGTTGACACTCGCAGCACGTTGCTCAACAACCAAGAGCAACAAATGTGACAGAGGTTATTTTACACTCATCCTGTGGATACATGTGTGTTCTTTTCTAGCACCGTTCTTGGTTCATTTAAGCAGCACGCTTCCAGTGTCGAGCTACGACAAACGTTCATGAGCATTCGTCCTGTGCGCTTTCTTTTCGTGCGTCCTTCGTGCTTGAGCGGCGTGTTGCATGTGTGGGGTTGCTTGGACCTTCTTCGTGTGACATTCTAATTTCTTGCTATCACGTTCACTGCTTCATCCACACCACAAACTAACTTTTTTTCACATGCACTTTTGGAAAATTGGATCATGTGCATCCACGCCACATTGCTGCTTCAGAAATGGGAAGTTTGACATATTCACCTGCCGATGTACCACGTTTAGGTCGCAATGTCGATATGAGAGTGCACTGCTCAGGTAATTCAAGAATTTTCAAAGATGGCAAAAAATTCCAGGACTTTCAAGGTCCTTGAAAGTGCATTTTTCAAATTCAAGGGTTTTCAAGAATTTGAAGGACCTGTACGAGCCCTGCATGAACATAAGTGCCCAATAAAAAAAAAATACTAAAGCGCACATGCAGCCAACTACTACCGCCGCTCAATCGGTAGGGCTCCACTCACCATGGCGCACGTCATCAGAGCCCCACGGTTGGCCGGCGACAAAAAGCCCAGGCAGGCAAAAACTGCACAAGCGAAGGGAGGAATCTAAGCAAGCAACACAGTTTCTTTCATACTACAACAAGTGTGCCACGATGAATGTTAAAGCACATTTGTGTGAAATCCCATGTTCTCGCCATCCTGCCTGATCAGCTTCACCTACCTGCTGCATCCCTTCTCAGTGTTGCTACCTCAAGACCAAAGACTTTGTTGTATCGAATTCAACGCTTCTGTACTAAGCCTATGTATACTATAAACTCCTCCACCTCAAACAAGACCTCTTAAAATTTCATTATCATCACCAGCATAATGAATGGTAAAGCGACAGCAAAAGCAAAAAACAGCCTCATAATCACATTCTCATTTGCTTATGTTCCAGGAAAAGGGCATATTTCTTGTCATCTTTTGTCCTCGTCACATCGTGGCCAACTTCTCCCTATCATTGGGGAGTTAATTCACTTGTCCCTTTTTAATTCCTTCGAATTCTATACTATACACAGCTAAACGTAAGTGCACGGGTGTTCTTTCAATTTGGCCTAATTGAAATTCAACTAGTCGTGGACAGAAATCAACCTTGTGCCCAAGCAGTTAATGCAAAACCTTAGGTGCTAGGCTACCACTGAGTGTGCATCCAAAGTTAGTGGATGCACAGAAATAACACAAAAGGAGTACAACAGGTTCCTATTAGGTTGTACACTTTTGAATACACAAACCTCAGCGAGACATTCGTAAAGCTACCTAGCATAGCCAGGCGGCCAGCGAAAGAGAGCCCACAAAACTCACGCAGGGTGATGAAGGTCATGAAGAAGATCTGCGTGCCACTACCGAGGAACACCGAGAGCAGCATGCCCTTGCGGGGAGTGCGGAAGACGTCGCCATGCACCAGCTTCCACCCAAACTCCTCCTGGGCATCGTCCTGAGAGGAAGGAGAAAAAAACATGCAAGCGCGTTCGGTCAGCAGAACAGAACAACACAGGGCCAGTGTACATCGGAGGCACAATAAAAGAAACACCACAATTTACGAAGAGTGAGAATCTTGTGTATCAGTCGGTTCAAAGAGAGCACATATTGTAAGAAATAAAAGTTCCCAGCTGCACAAAATACTAGAGTAAATGACCATTCAACTCAACACAGAAGTTGGAAATTTAATTTTCAGGCTTTTACAAGCCACAGTGGCATTGAGGCCGTGCAGCAGAGGGAGGACTCGGCATCATTTCTGACCAGCTGGAGTTCTAATGTGCACCTCAGCTTGACAACATGAGAGCCTTATATCAGGTGCATGCCCGCCAGAACGTGGCTAGTTGGTTACGGCTGAAATAGGAAGATTGGCAGCTTAGGGGCTAGCAGAATGAATAGCAGCACTGCACACTTAGCCCCTAAGCTGCCATGGGAGGTCTTGATAGTAGAGGCCATGTCGGCAGTCGATAATTAGGGACTTTGGCATGTTAAATAACGAAGTAAAGGGTAGGAAAGAATGGTAACCCCGTCATACTGCAGGGATTTAGTGCGTCTCGTGTGTCAGTACGCACAAAGGCATTTGCAGAGTAGTGGGTTGTCAAAAACCACAAGCAATGTGTTATGTTTCCCATGGACAGCACATTATTCTGCTTTAACATATGTTCCCGCTGAAAAAAAATATGGAAAGGCACCATGTCCACCATTAATTATGCTGCTGCTTAAAATTTACACCACAGGTAAAGTAGCATAAGCTTTGTAACTGCAATATCCAGGAAGATCTTCACTAAAGGGAACCTAATGGGGCCAGGAAAATCCTATCCCGTTTCACAGGAATTCCGTTCACTACGGGATGAACAGAGGCACAAAATCCAAGCATGAAACTCACTATGTTAGAGCAGCTTCGTTCGAAAGATTTCAATTTACTGAGAATCTGCATGTAGTCTAGTCTGGTTGAGTTCTGCCCTACCATACTGATTGCATCAACAAACAACAAGAAATTTAAGGACAAGCTAAGACTCTCCACAACCAAAAAAGCTGTGCGCCATGATGGCACCACGGGCATTCCCGAGCCTTTTACATGTCAAGCTAATGCATCACCCATCCAAAGGTTTACTATTTTGTCTAGTGAGTACTACACAGACTAGCAGTTGTTGTTTCACCATTCTGAAGTGACTGCTGAAGAACTAAATGGCATCACACCTCATGAAAACACCTTATAAAGGCTAGAGTAACTGGAAACGTAGCATAAATTAGGTTACCAGTGTCTTTCACAATGACAGCATGGAACAGAAAGGCTATGGCAGCAACAGAAACCTTCTTTGATGCCCAGATTACGTCCTTAGGAACTTTTCTTCCCTTCAATTACACAACAGGAACCGAAAAACTCTATCGAGTCATGTTTCCAGCTTCAATTCATTACAGAGGAACTTGGCATTAGAGTCTTTGTTTACTTATATTGCAACAGACACAAATTTTAACAGATTGACAAAACTTATTCATAGAATCACCCCTGTGATCTCATCATCATCATCAGCCTGACTACGCCCACTGCAAGGCAAAGGCCTCTCCCATGATCCACCAATCACTTTCAGGTTAGTGGTTATTCATTCCGTGCTTTGCCAAGCTGTCCACCAATATCATCCAATATGCTCCCATCTTGAAGCAATAAATGAATAATGCATAAGCCCACTTCAGAGGTGAACATTTGGCAGAAGTCTGCCCGATTAGGATGGAAATGAGACAATTAAAAAACTCTAAAAATTGTATTAAAGACCAGACGTTTCGAATTCAGACCCGCTTCTTCTGGTTAATGGAACAGCAAACGCAGTAGCTAAACACTGCGAGCGGTCTGACCGCCACATCCACTTGGACGACACAGCGATTCTGGAGAAAGGAACACCTGGCAACACCTCCTACTCGAATCCTGGCAAATTCAGAGGACAGCAGGGAAACATCAACTGCTTTACCGGGACACTGCTCTTCGTCTACTGTCAGGGTTTGCGGAGGGTCGCGGGGAACCTCTCACGCAAGGCGAGCAAGTGTATATAAGCGACGCACATCTCTGGCTTTCTCACCCATGAGGAAGAAGCCGGTGTGGCTTCGAAATGTCAGGTTTCTGAATACAATTTTTGGTTGGAGTTTTCTAATCGCTTCATAAGCACACTTGTGCCGGCACGTCAGTCGCAAAAAAATAGTGTCGCAACAACTCTAAGACCATACATATATACAAAAGCAAGCGCTTCAGCGTACAAAATGCGCAACGGAGCAAGTGCAAAAAACAACACACTGCGCCCCAGTAGTCCATTTAACATGGCGAAAAAACTCGGAGAAGGCTTGAGCTTCCCCTTCAAAAGTAGAATGTGATAGCACAGTCGGGCCCCACGTGTATTGCCTTCTGAATCACAAGCCTAGCTTTCCTTCTCGGTGGACACCTTGACCGGGGCACCAGAAAAAGAGCATCTGTGCAAGAAACATGAAGCAGTTGCAAGCTCTCCTAGAATGCCTACTGCAAGTAAAGTAGTGTAAGGGCCCACTATTCCACAGTTCTTCCTTTTTGAAAGTTAGTGAAGTACCCACTACAACGTCCGTAAGGCAACATGTGTACTTACGCAGTTGTTCTCTTTATTGATACTTACACAGCTTATGAAGGTTGCTGTATTCACTCGCGTAATGAACTCACTTGCATAATGACCCCCCCCCCCCCCCCGGTCCTTGAAAAAAGAAAAAAAAAACATTTTTTTAATGCATCTGTTCATTTTGTTTGGGTAGAATAGCCAGCGTCGTTGACGACCGAACCAACATTAAATCAAGCCATAATATCGCTATACAATGGGGCAATAAAAGTCAATACATAGTTTAACAGTGATGCTAAACATGCTTAACAGTTACGAAGAATGCGAGCTCGGACAACGTCAATCAAAACTTAAAAGTCGTGACTTTTGTGGAAGAGCGCCTTCTGCCAAATGCAGGAGAAACCTCTTTGCTCATAGTGCCACGCAAGCACAACGGTAAGAAAACAAAGCAAAAAAACAAAGTGCATGGCTTTCGACACGGCAGGTGCGTGCCCGCCATCTCAGAGGCCATGCAAAGCGCAACCGCGCAAACGACGCGTCGTGCACCCCCCCCCCCCCCTCCCTTAGTGCAGCGCCGTCCGACGCTGCCTTTTTGTTGTCGGGATTTTTAAAGTGAACTTGGTTGGACACCTGCTGCCCTGCATGCAGTTGGCTAGTACGCTATCTACATGGCTGGTTTTAAACATAAAGTTGGTCGAACATGCACTGAAGCATGGGAAGCGACTGCCTGGACGACACATCGGCGTCGATTTTGTGCGCGTTCATTATGAAAGAAAACAAGAAGAGCTTTGGGCTACGAAAACGATTCGCCGCTCACTTTGCAGACCAAGACAAGCAAAACTGTCATGCGAAATTTTCGCTGTTATAACTCCCGTGACTTTTTTTCTCCTACATAACAAACCCTTCCACCAAATTAGCGTCAACTTTTCTGAACAATCAACTTTTCTGAACAATGTGAGTTCATTAAGCGAGTAAATACGGTCACGTCTGAGCACTTTTTAATGGATGAGACCCTAAACACCCCACTCGTCGTGCAATTCAAGTATCACCATGAATAGTAAAACTCCATGCCTCTGGCACGCAACATCACACGCAATACACGACATTCAAGTAAGGTTTTTTTCCGAAACAGTTTCAAGCAATGGCATGGCTCTGTCACAGAACACCTGCTTACCACGCAGAAACCCTCTCAAGCGGAACATATTTATTTGTATTTTTTTATTTGCATCTCAAGTTATCGCTCGCGGACAACACTGATCTTTTGCTCACTGCCAACGATGCCGATGCCGATGCCGACACCGGCATTACTGCAAAACAAGCTCTTCAATGCTATCGGGTTGATTCACTATTCCTGGTAAAATGTGCTCACCGATACATGCTCACAGATTATGTGGCATACTTTGAGATATTTCCCAATTTTACTGCACTGCGTTTACTAGTAATGGTTGGGTCAAAATCATATAAAAAAGAATGCCAGCAAGCTCCAAATAATGGACCACATTAATAGCAACTACCCCGCATCTTTAGCATAGCATAAGCAGGAGCGAAGAGAGGTGTGAAACGCACCCCGGAGTCCATCTGGTTGTAGCGGGCAATGTCCTTGTGCAGTGTCCTGAGCAGGATCATGGCCACCATACCGGTCAGGAAAAGCACTATGATCAGGCTGTTCATGATGCTAGAAAAAGGGGGGAGAGAGAGAGAAGTTGGCTATGATACAGAAAAGCATACAAGAAATACATGAAACCAAAGCTCTACTAGAACACTATGCAGAAACAGCACGAGCATTTCCCACTAGTATAATTAGTTCAAAGTGTGTGTGCGAGCCTCACACTTTAGCAACAAAACCCATTTCTCCAGTTTTCTTTGTTTCACAAATCGTAGTACCATATTTAAATGATTATGGCAAGACTATGACACCATTGGAAGGCTGGGCTCATGAGAAAGCAAAAAGAATTTTCGCAGTAAGAGCCGGCAGTTTGGTCTTGAGTGAACTGCATGTACTAACAAACAAAAGCAAGGCATGATGACCAAGGATGATGTGCTCACAACTAGTTTATTCATACCTTGTAACATGTAATGTCACCTGGAAGGAGAAAAGGTGGAAGGACGCAAGAATACTCGTAAAAACTAAGACAGACAACAGTCGATGCCTGCACAAAGCCAGTTGAACACAGTACAGTTCTGTGCATGCTATTAAACTCCTTCATTGACAGACATTCCTGTTACCAAGGCCTCCAAGCAACTTGGTGTAACGGAAGATCGGTGCGCACACGCAGCACTCGGAATGTGCTGCAAGATGCCCTGCTCATGACCTGTTCTTTCAACTGATGGCACACATGTTGGTGTTTTCAGAGATGTTCACTGAAACAGGATTCTATTTGCCCAATGTTCCATTTGCTGCATGTATATGCAATGAAGCCTACTTGTAACGAACCTGAGCATGATGCGCAATTCATTCACTGTATCCCGAAGTTCGTAGTAAATGAAACACAGCATTAAATAAGTTGCGACTGAAAACACATTTTTTTTGCAAAGAAGTCCATAATGATTGCATTTCAAAAAGCAGAAGCGATAAGAAAAATCTCGAGTTATTTAAAGTAACTTGCTTTTCGCCTGAGGCTATCAACTCTTCTGTTACTATGCCTATCCAAATCAATCACCGGCGATCAACGCTTCTGGATCATAGATTTTGAAATGTTAAGTTTGTTTCTCGTGCACCCAGAGCTTTCTAGTAGTTAGTACAGCCACTCAACTTTCAGAATCAATTTGAATTTGCCCGCTTCGGCAACATCGTGATTTTTGACAGACCTTTGCGCAAACCAATGTGCGTGTATTGTTGGAAAAGTGCACTAGGCTGGCTAACTTGACAGGAGCGCGTGCCCCTCGTGATTATGGTACAGTAACATCGAAGTTCTGTAATGAAAAGAATCTTTGCAAGCCAAATATCGCATTAAAGTGTCAGCTTCACATTTTGACTATGTTGAGCAGTAATGATAGCCAGAAATTTATGCCATATATTCAATAGAAAGCTGTTCTTAGGAGTCAGGAAAAATTTGTTGTACAAAAAATATTTGCGAAGGTCCGCCGCGGGTTTAATGTATTGAGGTGGCCTTCTATGACAGTTTGCAGCAGCTTTAGTTTTGCTTGCAATGTTAGAACAAACACAGGGTCACATCTAAGGTCACTAGTCGCTCTTGTGACGTTGTCACCAGGCGCGCGTCAGTGCTGAAAAACGCATGCACTGCTCGAAACTGTCTTGCAAACCCACCTGAATTGAGTGACAACGGGCTTGGCGTTTGAGGATGACAGCACCTCAGCTTCAAGTTTTATGGCGACTATGTTTTGCGTCAGCCTGATACATCCACAGCCGTTCATGGGTTTGTTTTGTTTACATCCTCAAGTTGTTTCCTCCGTCGCAAGTGCATATAGCTTCTGACCTTTGCGCACAATCTTATAGCTACTCTGGTTATGTGCGTAGTCCACACTTCGCTGGGGCGCAGTGTGCTGGCACTGGCTGCAAAGCTTTTCCTAACAACAAGAAGGACCCCGGAACACATCTTGGCCCTGACTATGAAACAGTGCAAAACGTTCTAGAACTGCGCGCGATGTTGTCTTTTTTTTTTAATACGATATGCACGAAAAGGCAAAGAAATATGCTTCGATGCATATATTGGAATGCCAACTTGTGTCGGGTAAGGTGGCTCTTCGGAAGAGGCGACGCTAAATACAATAGCGAAGTTCATTGGACATCTCATTCATAGAGGGATCATTCACATCACGGGTATGCATCTATCTCTATTGGAACACCAGGAGACACTTATTGCAACACAACAAAAATTTATTGAGAAAAAGTGTACAAGTACACTTGTGTCTCACGAAAAACCATGCAATGCTTAACCGCATGGCACGAGAAACGAAGCAGCACCTCGGTTCTGATTTTTTTTTTTTTGTCTACCTGAAGAAATACATTTTTGCACAACATTCATTATTTTTTATACAATTCCAGTGTCATTTATCTACAAAATGTATAGTCTGATTTGCTTTGTGTTGAATATTTTTGCCTTTATAGTGTTTCTTATTGCACTGTTTACCAGCTTGTGACCAAGAATTCTACAACTTTGGCTTTTTTCATTCTATTTCTGTTGCTCTACAATATACACTTTTTGGAAAGAGCATTTCGTTGTGCAAAGTTTGGAATGCTGCAATGCGTGCCGGAGTACTTTTCCAACTGGCAAAAACGATCTTCCCGAGACATGAAAAACAACCATTTTCGCTTGGTAATGAAAGTTAAGCGAAAGTTCGTTTTAAGCGGGACCTTTTATGTGGGCTCGACTGTAGTATCCCGTGCGCTTGCAGCAGACAATACGTGTGTGTGTGCACACACACATGCACACACGTACGCACACACCTGAGTGAACGCCCAACACTCACCTGAACCATTGGATGTTGGTCTGCGGCAGAGACTCAAGAATGTAGTCCCACCTGGACGACCAGCGCACTTGGTCGTTCCTCTGCAATAGAGAAGCAGACAGGAACTTTACGCCATGCACCATCACACTGCTGAACACTCAACAAACAAAGTGGCTGCCGTTGTGATATTAATAGGATTGTGCTAATAGTAAATTTTTGGTTCAAAGCAAATAGTGATTTGGTTGAATAATTTCGAATCGAATGATACCTATTTTATAGGAAAACGAGCATATATGTCATGACCCAAATAACCTGCACAATAAGAATTTTAACATTCAAATAAAGCATGTGCAAATGTCATTCTCTTTGGTTCAAAGCAGCTGGAAGCAACCGTGAATAGTAGTATGATTTGACTTTCAGTTAAATGCAAGTAATAACCTACAAAATCTTTCGTTTTGAAGTTTACTATTCTTTGAACATATAAGCCCATATAGTAACAAGCTGTTGAACCTAAAGAATTATGAATTTATGTCACTGTAAAGAGTTCATTTAACCTTGAAGTGGGGCTTCACAGCAGTGAGAATTTGCCCCGTATTCCCAGCATAGCACCCCTTCACTAGTACTTCAAGATTCAAACAACCGATGTAAATTCTTAAAATTATTTTCAAAGTATTGAACACTGTAATATTTGTTCAAATATTCAAAGTGCTCGAATATTGCAGATGCCTAGATATTAAAAATGGGTGTGCACTGTCACATCAGCAGTTTTTTGCTAGTTCACTCTGCCCTACGCTACAATCTACTAAAAATTAAGCGCTTTTCGTCTCTTGCATGTTCAATATTCAGTGACAATCGCGATGGTGTCGCCTATGTACAGTGCAGTCGTCTCAGTGCCTTCAGTCAGTGCCACCCGGCAAACAAAATGCGATGACAGAAAATGTGGTCCTCATCATAAAGGTTAATGTACACAACAATGAAAGATTGCATGAAGAAATGACAGTAGCAGACTCACCAGAGGTAAAATCTTAGTAGTTTATTACCCTATTAATACACACATATCGTGGCCATATACGAGGTCGTAAGGCCTTTACTGGCTGGGCCCTTGGTGGAAATTGTCAAGGTAAGCTGGCACCTACTGTATTCACCTGATTAGAAACTCCTCTTTTTGCTTATCGCGTGGACACAGATTTAAAAGAAGCGAGGCCGGGCGCCACCTGAGGGTGTACCGTAATTACTCGGATCTAACGTGCACCTTTTTTTCGGTTAAGCGAGTTCATAAATCGCATGCGTATTAGAATAGAGCACGAAAAAAAAAATGAATACGGCGAAAGAAGAACGATATTCTTGCAACAGGTCCAGAAGTTGGGAACGCTGTACGGCCATAAGGTTGTCAGTGATAGAGGGGCCAAATACATCAGCAGATGACGAATCAGAAGTGGAAACAGCATTGATGGTACGCGACCTGGGACAGCGCGTGTCATCGGGTACGTCCAGGACTTGTGCGTCCTCGACTGGTTTTACTCTGCCGAGACATTCCCCTCGAAGCAAGGTAACAGTGTACGGGGACGGGTTGGTTACAAAAATAGCAGCGTTGCCCTGGTTGACCTGCACGGTCGCGAAAGGTACTAGCAACCCTTTCCTGCTGCAAGCGTGGTCAGATGGCGAAACGAGTGCAATGGTGTCGGAGAGACCGGTGCAGTAGACAGACACAGCCGTCGTCGAGTTTGGAGGCACTGTTGTAGCGTCTTTCGTTAGAATCTTGCTCAGTGTCGAGGGACTGTCTTCTGGCGTCAAATGCGAGAAGGGTGAGAGTTCAATTTCGGCGGCGACACAATGGATGACGGCGTCATGGCGGGAGAGAAAGTCCGATCCCAGGATGACGTCATGAGAGCATGCCAGAATGATGATGAACTGGGCGACATACAAAACGTCCTGAATAACAACGCGAGCTGTGCGCCCTGCTGTAGGATCAATACGATGCAAACTTGCAGTACGGAGGGACAACCCAGAAAGTGGCGTCGTCACTTTTCGAAGTAAGCGGCAGAGTTTTTCGTCCATAACTGATACAGCAGCTCCAGTGTCAATAAGAGCCGATGCACAAACACCGTCCACAAACAGGTCAATGACATTCGAGGGGCTGCTCTGAGGGCTTTCACATTGTGATAGCGTCGCAGTCCTTGCCTCGGGGACTGCGACGACTAGTTTTCCCGCTCATGAGCAGCCGCACTTGGCCGCATGGGGGACAGGGAACGACGTCGTGGAGACGGCGATCTTCGAGATGAACCTGGGCGAGACCGAGGTGGCATAGACGGCGGTTCTTCGCGATAAGGACGGCTGAGTTGGCCAGCAACAGGTGAAGAAACTGGAGCCGGCTGTACGCCATGGCAATAACGGGCCACATGACTGGCGTAACCGCAGGCAAAGCAGGTGGGCCGGTTGTCGGGTGTGCGCCATCTGTTCACCAGGGTAGGTCTCACTCATGTCGCAAGGGCACATGGACGGAACGGTGGCTGCATGGTGGACTGAAGCTAAGGGGTTACGTCAACATACGTAGCAGGCATACCCGCTGCAAAGGACGGAGGTCGAGCGGAAGCTTCGGCGTAGGTCAGAGGGGCGGATGCTGGAACGACTTGGGGCGGCCTGGCGACAACTGCCGCGTAACTCAGGGGCACAGGAGCCGGAGGCTGTGGGGGGTGGTACGCAGGCATTACCTCCGCTATTTCCTGTTCAATCGCTTGACGGATGGGAGGGAGAAGGGTAGTAGCCGATTCTTGAACAACCGGTTGGCGGGCAAAGGGCAGGAGCGAGAACTGACGCACGATTTCCTCCCGGATGAAGGACTTTAGGTCTGCCATCAATGCCACTTGGTCACAACTGGCCTCCACGCCAGCAAGTGTTGCAGCTCGTGGTGGGGAGCGTCGGGTCATCGAACGCTGCCGGCGGAGCTCCTCGTAGCTCTGCCACAGTGTGATGACCTCAGCCACTGTGTCGGGGTTTTTGGCGAGCAGCATTGTGAAGGCATCATCGTCAATGCCTTTCATATGTTTCGGATCTTGTCAGACTCGGACATGGTGTGATTAGATTCGTTGCATAGGTGCAGGACGTCTTTAATATAGCTGGTGAATGACTCACCAGCCTCCTGAGCACGTTCACGTAAGCGCTGCTCGGCTTGCAGCTTGCGAACAGCAGGGCTGCCGAAGACGTTGATGATTGCGGTCTTAAAATCGGACCATGTGGCAAAATCAGACGCGTGGTTGTTGTACCACAAACTGGCAACGCCCGTAAGGTAGAACACCAAATTGGTCAGCTTGCCGTCCTCGTCCTATTTGTTGGGGACGCTCACGCGCTCGTAAATGGCGAGCCAGTCCTCCATGTCAGTGCCATCAGCGCCAGTGAAGATGGGTGGATCGCGGATTCTGGGGACACCGGAACAAGGGGGTGGCATTGGAGGAGGCGTCTGCTGAGAAGCGTCGTGGGACATGGTAGATGGCAGGGTACGTGATCGTAGCTCCAAAGGCATAGACGGGGATCGCAGCACTCTCCATCAATTTGTTAAGGTGTTTATTAGCCGGCAACCAGCGAGAACATAAAATGGCGACAGTCACAGCCAAGCACGGGCTCTCAGCGCGAGCGGCGTCCTTGTTGGGTAGCCCCACTAGAAGGTACTCAAGACTTCGACCCATTTCAGAGTTCGGAGGCTTCGCTACATTGGTCATTCTATTGCCATCGACATTTCAAAAATGGCCGCCCCCTATGTGCGTCGGCATGGCGCGTCGGCCATTTCTGCCAATGTGTTTCCCATGTGCGGCACTTCATACATGTGCTGAGAAGTTCGGTCATCTTGTTAGCATCGACGGAATGGAAGGGCCGACACCAAATACTCGACGAGTGCACCACGATGCCGCTTTCAAAAAAAAAAGTCATCTGCAGAAACGGACAGAAATCGGGCCGCATCGCGGTCGTTCGGAGTTCCTGAAACGTGCGTGCGAGACTGGCGGAGACAAAAGCAGAAGATTGTCGACTGCAAAGCTTCACGTAAAGGTTTCAGTGGACCGCAGCAGGGTCGGTTTCCACAAATTAAAGAGCTGCTCGCCGAGTATGTGCTTGAACAGCGAGTGGCACAGCGGCCCGTGCCGACAGAACTGCTCCAAGTGCAGGCTATGCAGTTACCCTTGAAAAAGGGCTAACGCGGAGCCAGTTCAAAGCGAGCAGGTGCTGGCTAACTAACTTTATGAACAGTAAAGGATTTTCCCTCCGAAGGCGAACGGGCATATGCCAAAAGTTGCCGGAGGAATAGGTTCGTCCTTAACTTGCGGGCACAACAATGACTACCTGCTTGGGCAAATCGGGAATGCCGATCAGACGCCTCTTTACTTCGACATGTCTGGCACCACAACCGTCGAGAAAAAGGGGGCGAAACAAGTTCGCGTGCTGACATCGGGCCACGAAAACACTACAGTGACGGCAATGCTCTGTAGCACGTCAGATGGGCACAAGCTTCCCCCGAACCTGATACTTAAACGGAAAATGCTCCCGAAAGAAGTTGTTTTCCCGAGTGGTGTGATGGTGCGAGCCAACGAGAATGGTTGGATGACGACAGACCTGGTCGCCGATTGGATCTATGACGTCTGGCGGAAGGGGCCTGGCGCCAGTTTGGGCCTGCGAGCGATGCTCGTGCTCGACGGGTTCAGGTGCCATCTCTACCAGCGGATCAAGGACAAGCTCGCTGCGTGCAATACGGACCTTGTAGTCATGACTAATTATGAAATGGAAGCGCACAACGTAGAAGCAGACGGAAAGACAGGGACAAGCGCTTGTCCCTGTCTTTCCGTCTGCTTCTACGTTGTGCGCTTCCATTTCATAATTAGTCATGTATCACCAACTCGCCCAATCAACCATTTTGACTTGTAGTCATACCTGGCGGCATGACGTCACAACTTCAACCGCTGGATGTCTGCCTGAACAAGCCGGTGAAGGACAAGATTCGGGCGCTTTACACTGACTGGCTGATCAATGGACGACATGATTTCACGCCAGGCAACAGGATGAAGCGCGCCTCTCTGCAAGACTTCGCTGCGTGGGTGAAGGACGCGTGGTGTGC